TGATCAAGTTAATCCTGGCAAAGCGTTCTGCTCTAAGAGTTTTGACTACGAAAGTTACGATTAACAAAGTTTATTTCTTTAAGTCTTTCTCAGGAAACTGTTTGTGGAGCTGGAGATAGTTTTTATAATCACTGTGATATGATTGCTGATGAATGGACCATGAAATATATTTATTTTTAACATTTAATTGTCCAAGACATGGTTCCAACTGAAACAATTAACCAGATTAATCGTGATTGATTATTGAAATAATCGTCGACTAATTTACTAATCGATTAATTAACTGGAGTATAGAGACTGTAAAACCCACCTGTAGCTGACAGAGCAACACTTAGAACAGGAATTATATCAAAGTTGTAAAAACTCATGTTAACATTTAGCATTTATGACCAAAAATCTTTTCCGTCTGTCAGTCTGTTCTATAATCCAGAACTCCTCCTGGGAAAAGCTTCACCTGGTTTAGTTTAGTGAAACGTCTTCTTTATGGAACCTTTTAGCTATTTGAATATTATTGGATTAATTAGAATAAAAATTGAGCAGATTCATCAATTTGCAAAGTAATTGTTAGTTCCAGCCTTAGTATTTTAGGGGCTCACAGCCCTAAACAGGTTGGAGTCGTAGTTCAGCTCAGCTGCTAAAAAACAGTTTAGCTGCCATGCTGGTCAGAGCGACCTTTGACCCAATAACCCTCAGTTCCTGTAAACCTGACCCTGGCTCCCTCACTGTTTATTAATCAGCCATCCATTCAGTTCTGGTTTTATCGCTCTGTCACTGTTTCCCAGCGGTTGTGGTGAACGCTGCCGTGCGTGTTTGCAGTTCACCAGGACGGTGCTGCATGCTGAAACACGCCACTCTGTCCTCCGTATGCAGACAGACGGTTTATGACCTGCAGCATTTCTCCATCAGCACTGAGCTCACTTTTAGCCACGGTCACATGATTACACTAAGTGGGTCACACGCTGTTCACCATCACATGCTCCCAGTTAGACGTGAGGTTTACTGTGAAATCTGAAGAAAAGCTGAATATCTGGAAAGAAAGACTGTTTGGGAGCAGCTGAAGGATTTCTGGAATTCCCTCCGTGTTCCTGACCAACCGACGGCATGCAGCGATGCAGCCGGTGCTGCCTGCTCTGGATGGACTTTTATCACAATGGGTCTGAGCCAATCACATGTTTGCACTTCTGAGAGTTTCACAAAGGTTCTAGAAATGCAGACTGCTTTTTATTTATTTAGGTTTTCTTCCTCTTATACCTCTTGGCAGCCATATTAGTTAAAATACATCATTTACACCTTTTAAGCCCAAATGTTTGCAGTCTGAAAAAAAACAAACCTTTACTTTATGCACTGTTTTTATATAGTCTTATTTTTTTTATCTTTAAAGGCATCTTGCTTTAACTCTTTATCCTCTATATAAGCTACTGGAACCAGAATTTCCCTGAAGGAGGAATCCCCAGGGATAAATAAAGCTGAGTCTAAAGGTCTGGTTATCCTCCTGCAGCAGTGTGTCTCAGATGTTTATGATTTCTGCCCAACATTGAAGCGTGGACTGCGCCATGTTATTCCACGCCACAACGCCAGAGGGCCAATCAGGAACCAGCTGTGGGTCTAGATACGGCCGAGGTGGTGAGGAAGTGGGGGCAACTTTGTGCGACAACGGAGGGACATGAGGGCCAAAAAGAGCGGGGATCCAGGTGGGAAAAGGGTCCCAGCGTTCTCACCTCGCTCTGCTAGCTGCTCCATCTTCACCAGTCGTTTTCCACAATGGCGGTCAGACAAACAAAACCAGCCGGTAAGGATCCAAACAGGAAATACGCATAGAGTAGAGAGAATGCAGATCTGACCAATCAGAGGCCTCCTGTCTGCGCTCACCTACAATTGTGGAGAGGTGCAGCAGAGTGCCTGCAGAAGGGGTGGGGCTTATCTGCGTTGACTGCGCCACATGCAGACGACCTGGTTTCTGAGGATAAATCAGCCTTAGGCGTATATCTGTGGGGAGCTACGGTTTCAGACGGTCATTGAAGCTCACCTTTCCCACCGTGGTTCTTTGAAAATGGCCGAGGGTCGGAAGAGGAAAAGTGTCTATGAAGTGTATGAGAAGAAAGGAAAGGCAGAAATATCCCAGAATGCTTTGCGCAGAGAGCTCTCCTTGCACAGCATTCTGGGATTAGCTGTCCCAGTGGCCCGCTGTTGCCTTAGGCTGTCGCTACCTGACAGCAGCGACTAATAACAAAGATGGGGCAGGCACTACGCTGTGGAGGAGGAGTGACCAACGGAGCAAAAATCAGTGATCATCTGTCCAAACGGTCAGTTAACTGAGTTCACTATAGAGTCACCGCTCTATATAGTGATTGAGGGGTCAGAGGTCAGGGCGTCCAGTCGGACACCGTGAGCTGCTATGAGAGGAACAACTTTTAAACAGAGCGTGCACGAGGAGAAATGGGCTCGTGCACGAGGAGAAATGGGCTTGTGCACGCTCTCGCTCACCTTTAATAGGCGTTCCCTCTAGGAAGCAGGTGCAGGTTTGGGCATGTGCTTTTTTTTAAAGTGGAGGGGGCGGGTCTTTGAAAAAATTTGTAACAATTCTCCAAAATACCTGTTCATTGATCTGGGTCACCTGACCATGAGGCTGGTGAGCTGCAGCTGATAACAGCGAGCTTGGTTTGCATGGCAGATGGACCCACTGGGTTACAGAAGCAACGTTTTTCTTTTCCAGATCATTGTTGACGACGATGACAGCAAGGTGTGGTCCCTGTACGACGCCGGCCCAAAGAGCATCCGCTGTCCCATCATCTTCCTCCCCCCCGTCAGTGGCACAGCCGAGGTGTTCTTCCAGCAGGTTCTGGCGCTGACCGGCTGGGGTTACAGAGTCATCTCGGTGAGCGGGGGCGCTGCTGTTCATCAGTTAAACCTCATCTGCCTCACATGGGGCTGGCTGGTTCTGACATGATTCAAAATAAAAAAGTAAATGTTAGTTTCAGACATGGAGGGCGATCAGAGGCAGGCGGTTTGAATCAGAATCACTGATCTGATAGCAGAGCTTTTTACAAACGGCGAACCAGTACAGCTTTAGATTGACCTCTTCCTGTCTCAGTTTTCACTAATACACACATGTGACTCATACACACACAGAACAAGGTTCACCAAAGTATTTCTGGTCCATAAACAATTCTAAATTAAATTACAAAGTACCAGTGCTCTTTAAACTTCACTGCATCTATGTGTGGATTTTTGAGACTGCCTTGATGCACCAATGCATTTATTTAAGCAGGGATGGTTTGCCACCAATCACAAAGCTCCGTTGTATAAGCCAATCACAAGAAACCCCTCCACGTGGGAAACTAACCCCCTGATTCCACATCCTCCGCCCCACTCCGCCTCGCTCCGTTCCAGACCGCCTGCGAGCAGCGAAGCCCTACAGCCTCCACTGTTCCTCCCGTCTTTCTCCGCTCCGACTTCCTTGGAGTTTGAGGAGAGCCTGAGCAATATTATTATTTAACTCGTAGGAGAAAATCGTGGTAATGAAGGCT